ATGAAAGAAATATTCTTGTTTTGGTATTTTATTTTATTTTTGCTCATGTTGCTGAGTTCATGAGTAGTGTAATCACTGAAAAGTTAATCACGGTTGCTACTTTAAATTTTAATAAAGTGTTAATTTTCTATTGTACTATCAGTGATGTAATATTTGTTTATGTGCCCCAGCATTGTAAAACATCCTGCAGAACCCAAAGACTTGCCATATAACATGGCTATATAACCTCTATTGAAAATGAAAAGTTACTGTATCTTCTCAAGGATGTAGCACATCTTTCGTCTAGAACCCTTAACTGTTCGGCTAGGAAAGGAGCCTCTATTAATTTGGTTGCTCTCGTTTCACCTGTAGATATTGTGGTCAGGAACTTGTAGTCGATTTTACGCTCCTTTCTGTAATATTACAGCTAGCCCTGCGTTTCTGTACCAAGAGCAGGCTTATTAATTTAGTTGCTTTCCCCCGACTTCATTTCTTTCATACGGTGGTGACTATTTGAACATTTCTCTCATAGGTTCCACTTCACACCCATGGGGAAATGTAAATCTGTTTATCGCAGCAATAATACTGGAGTTCTAAAAGTACGGTTTTTTTTCATTAGCTCTTTTCACCCACCTTTGGTACTCTCGCTGCATACTCTTATAAATATTGCGGCATCTATGAAACTAATTTTGTCTCCAGTGAGTTGTTTTAAAGCTTATTTCTAGTCAAACACTAGCGGAAGATTAAGTTCATTTTTATAAACGCATCTCCCACGTGTTTACACTTACTGCTACGTCGTCACACTACCCCATATGTTTCTAGAGGCGAAGGCAGTTTTTCGGCATGGACAAAAGATGCGCAAATATCATCGAGTAGTGGCCTGCCTAAATATCGCCTTAAGTTTCTAGAAACTAGCAGGTGATTCTATTACGGACGGTGAGCTGCAGGGTTGCCACGTATGTTATTCTCATCGGCAGTAGCAAAAACTAACATTCATTAATAAACCCACATTTGCATGGTTACTATTACCAATAAAATTTCGTTATGTTAGTTGATTTTATTGAAACATTGTAGATCCGCTGGAAGCATAGATATAAATTAAAGTTCGAAGCCAAGGTATATCCGTGAAACAGTTTTTTGGGCATATGATGTAAGTATGAAGACTAAGTTCTCAGTCTGTAAGTTTGTTTTCATCTCCATGCTTATTTTCGACCATGAGTCGTGGACTATGACTTAAAATCTTTTATCCCTGATGCAAACGGCTGAAGTGGGCTTTCTGAGACGAATCGCTGGATTTACGCGTCGACATGATCCAGACAGAGTAAAGATATCTGCGAGGCCTTGGTGTAAATTCTCCGCTTCTCCAGATTAAGCGATCACAGCTTCGATGGTTTAGATACGTTTTGTGAATGCCTCCAGAATGAAAGACGAAATTGCTACTACTTGTCACGACCGGCTGAAGAACCTGGGGTTTGAAAGCATGACCTTGAGCAAGTGTGTCGAAGGACTTTTCTTCAGACTCAGGTTATCTTCTGTTGAAGCTCAGACGCTGGCACATGATCGAGAACCTTAGACATACTCTCAGAAACGTCTGCCTTCGCGACCCGAAGGGATAAACATAATGAAAACTGACTGACTGACTGTCTGTCTGTATATATATGTATATATATATAGACAGTCAGACAGACAGACAGTCAGTCAGTCAGACAGTCAATCAGACAAACAGTCAGAGAGACAGACAGTCAGTCAGTCAGTCAAACAGACTGACAGTCAGTCAGTCAGACAGTCAATCAGACAAACAGTCAGAAAGACAGACAGACAGTCAGTCAGTCAGTCAGTTTTCATTATGTTTATCCCTTCGGGTCGCGGAGGCAGACGTTTCTGAGAGTATGTCTAAGGTTCTCGATCATGTGCCAGCGTTTGAGCTTCAACAGAAGATATATATGTGTGGGTGTGTGTACATTTGTTTGCATTGTTTTGACATGTTTTGATTTTTGTATTTGCACTTATTTTAATTATGAAAGTGATTGCGATTTAAATATTTTATGTGTTTGTCAATACATAATTCTCTATTGTGCGTTAGTTTTCCAGGAGGCAACGTGGAGAAGTCTGACAAATCTCCTTTGTTAGCTGCTCTGCGTGAAGTTGACGAAGAAATTGGATTATCTCGTTCAGACGTTGAAATCTGGGGCGAAATGCCCTCAGTTCCTACAAGGGTATGAAATGAACGTTATATTTTGGCTTTTTTAGCAGAACATGTTAAGTAGATACAAATTATTCTGTATTGTTTGACAGGTGTACCTATGCCGTTTGAAACCTTTCTGTTTTGGGCAGACAGACACTGTTTCGAAGGATACTTCGACTCTGTGCGCACCGGATGGCATCGTTTTACATTCTGAGTAAATGTGATAGGGGAACTCTTTGCCAAAATAATGGAAGATCCGCACGATGTTTTAAGATGATGCCTTGCGGTAGAAAGAAGTTAACATCTTTCGCTCTATATATATCGTTAGTCAGAATGGAAAGCAGCCTTGGTCCATGTCACCGTGTTATGTGTTGGGGCGGAATACTCGGTTTGAGACTATCTGACAAGATTAGGAATGTTGAATTATATAATGAAGATTAATATCAGCTTTCCTTTGGATGACCTCAAGAAACTGAATCTTGCACTCTGTGACGCGCACTAAGATTATACGACAGGCGGCTGATCAAACTTATGGTTAATACTAAGCGGAGTCCATATTGAAAAATACCAAGATGGAGGGCGGAAGGATTGTGACTGGCAAGTCTTCGAGGCGAACTGTCAGCATCAAAGCTTGGCAACACTTATCATTGCAGTTGTGTTAACCTGCTGCGGAAGGACGCTAACTCTCGATGCTCAACAGTCATCATTTACGACGTTATCGTTTATGGTTTAGAACGCCATAAGTTGTTCATATGCCCGAGTATGCCAAATATCGAATGACTCCTCTACGACCAAATGTCCTGGCGTGTTATGCCGCCCTTGTTTTTAGTAGCCTAGGGAGCAATTTATGCAGTCCATCGCTCCAACGTATTTGATCACTTGCACTGCCAGGTGCATCTCGTATCATTTCGTCAGCTAGAGTCATCTCGCGCTCATCACGATTAATGTTTCAGGAGCTGAAACGTCGTATATGCTACCACATCAGTTGTTCATACACCGAGTATGTCTTTTAGGTAATGAATCCTCCAAGGTCGGCATATAATTAGTACCAACTTCTGAAACGTCGTTCTTGATGATCACGACGTGGCTCTATCAACAGTATGATGCGAAGTGCATGTGAGACAGCAGATGTTCAACTACAATGGTACCGCTGCCTGATTAAATGCCTTCTCTAGGCTACTAGGATTAAGGGTGAGGTGCAAAGCGCCGTGAAGTCTGGTCTTAAAAGAGGGGGTCATTCGTTATTTTGCCTGTCTAGAATTGTTATTCGAACCGAAATAAATTCAAATGCCCTCCAAACCTGGCACAAAGATTGATTTGTGATCGTAGGATACAGGGGACAGGAAGCAAATGGTTACAAAAATATGCGATTGTCGTTACTTTTTGCAACATCTCGCAAGTCAGGCAGGTCAATCGTTGGCTTTATATTTTCGGCATCCTATGTAGCGATTATGCTTAATGATATATCATCAAATTTATGTTGCATAGAACACAGTGCGTTATTTTATGTCTAGCGTGTCCTTATGACATACTTGTATCGGTAGTGAAATGTATTGATTGCATTTATAAATTATACATTTGCTTTCTTTGGTCAGGTTATTAACGCTATATCAGAATAATTTATTCTCGAACAGACAGCTTTTCGTTCTTTGTTATATTTGATATTGTTGTTCTTTTTCATTACCTCTTTTTCTATGCTTTCCCCTCCTGTTTGCTGAAAACAACATAGAACTGGTTTATTTATATACGTCGTCGACAATTTGGTCAAATCCAATGGTACTGACCTTTTGGCCATTGTCTCGCAAGCTTTCTTTGCCCATGTCTCAGGGGCTTAGTTCAGGTATAGAGGCGAATTGACGAAAGTTTTGACATTTGCAGCTGTTATCTGGTTTTGATCCGAACATCTCTTCGAAGGATTGAAGCCAGAAGAACTTTGAAAGTTAATCCACCTCTCTACCTTGAAAAAGGCCTGTAACACTGGAGCCGAAACATCGGTTATGGTAGATCATGCGATTAACCAAATAAACCGTCTTTTATTTTGTTTTCAGCATGATCACCTACGCTCGAACCAAATATCCAAACTCTTCTATATGTATACTTTATTTTTTCTCATATTTTGCAGTTTAGCCTCTA